ATTTATTCCCATTTATAAAGTCGTAAAAAAATAAAATAATATTTGAAAACTACATAACACCATCTTATTATGTAAACTAAATAATATTGCAAAAGCTGTAGCGTTAAACTGTAAAAATATCGTCATATAATAATATCTTCTGCACGCGACTTCGCTCGCGTTATATATTGTCTTCTGCAGGTTTTTGGTTTAAAAACTATCCTTAACTAAAAAATGTCCTTTCTTGAGTTCCACACTATGTCAAAGGTTCAGTAGTTTAAAAGGCGTGAAGAAAAGACAGACAGAGAAAGTTAATGATTGAGAAAATTCTTCGTATTTCATCATTAAATAAAATATATTGAAGTATACAATATCAGTGTGGGAGAGCCATGCTTCGGCACGAATGGGCCGTCTCGAAGTAATACCACGACCTCGCAAAACACCAGCGTGAAACAACCACAAAATATTTGTGATTCGTCGTGTGAGTGAGGTTACCGGAGGCCCAATCCCTCCCCCTCTCCCCATCCCTTAAATATCCAACACCCTTATCCCCTAAAAGGCCGGCAACGCGCTCGTAACTCATTTGGTGTTGCAGGTGTCCATGGCCGGCGCCGATTGCTGATCATCAGGTAATCCATCAGCTCGTTTGCCGATCTATTCCATTAAAAAATATATATATTTACCATGGGTCAGTTCCAGGCTTGTTGATACTACTGCTCCTCGGAAAGCCAGCGTGAAACAACGCCATATTGTGAGAGAGGTTAAAGTAGCCCCAAACCTTAACCCTCAAAAAGGCCTATCTTGTGTTGTAAGTGTCCATGGTGAACTCACTCATACATAACACTTTCATTATATTTCCATAGTTATCTCATCTACTTGCCCAACAAAATTATATGAGTAACAACTATGTATATTACACGATAGTTCTGCATCAACTGAAGATTGTCTGTGAGTGCACTTCCATAGTTCATAAAGGAATCATTGCCAGCCGCTGTCTTATTTCAATAATATGAAAACCTTGAAAAGGCTTCTGCGAGTTGGCTTCATACCCTCATACGCCTAACAAAGAGCCATTACAACTTATTTCTGCGTGTTAACTAAAGTTATTAATTACCGTAAAACGGGGTGAATAGAATATGGTAAATTTACCTAGTATCTATTCACCTTTCTTCTGTGTCTATTCACCCCTCGAATTTAATTCACCCCGTGTCACCGTGCATCACGCGTTTTCTTACACGTTTTTAAGGTTCAATTACAACAGCTGAACAATTTTATGTTTCAACCATAGATTATACATAGGTATTCTCATCTGTGGTTTGGACTAAATACAATGTATGCGGCCGAAGTCAAAACTTAGTCTAGCCAGGCTGCATTTTATAAAATCAAATGCAGCCTGGCTAAAAAGATACCAGGAGATCATGATTACATGTAATGTTCCAGCCTGCAACGTGGCCCCAGTGTATGGTCACGAAATCATTTTAACACTGTGTGAAATTAAAATAATATTATGAAATCAAAATATTTAAAACTAAGTATTAGGTTTATACAATATAAGAATTGTACTTTTCTTTTTTATTTAAAAAAAATACATATAAACTGGTTACGGACCTGTGAAAATGATCAAGGAATCAAAGGAAAATTCTATCAATGTAGGAACTTTTTAATTTATCGCTATCATTAAATTTAAAAAAAAAGTATTATTCGTCAGTTGATCACTAGTTTCATAATTTGCGCCTAACTGAATTCCAATAGCAATATATTGCGCATACGTAACGTATTTATTACTATCCGAAAGGCGTACCTAAGTATATTTTTTACTAATACGTGATTGTGATTTTGTCGTCAACTAATGATGACGTGTAAAATATACAAAACTGGAACTAAAAGTGTTTTAGAATAACATAATCGAGCCTTGAATCCATGAAGGAGTAGATTCTTACACGCAGTAGGTAATATTAATTAATGGTAGTTAGGTTATTGTCATAGTTAATGTTAGGAATGAGTGGGAGAGCTATGCTTCGGCATGAATGGGTCAGCTCGACCAGTGTGATACCACGGCCTCACAGAAAACTCATTTTATTTTGAGTTTGTGAAGTTCACAATTCGTACTAATTTTGTCCTAAAACCGCTACAATATTCACTGATTTTGTCATAAAAAGAATTTGTAGTTTAAAATAGTGCTGCTACGTCCTTTATTTGCGGTCCTCGTCAATAAAGTCTCATGTTTCATAACTTTCGGATACTAGGGAATTAGAGGTCACTAAGAGATCCATAAATATGGTCCTTTTTATAAAGTTAGGTACCCTTTATTCGAGGTTTTCCTTTAAAATCCCTTTGCAAAAAAGGGTCGGTGTACCTGTTAAAGCAATAAAAATTTTAGCAGGTAAGTTGGTCATTTTAGATAATTATGTTAAATACCACGCCACGTAAAAAATCTCTTGTAAAAAATATTGAAGACATGAAAATACATTACAATAACATTTCAAGTTAACGATTTCACGTTATGGTACTTGCATAGTTTTCCTATTTTACTAGGTAATTTAAGACAAACTAAAGTCCCATGCGATGCAAAAAATATGAACTTAGGTACGACGTTAAAACTTGTTCTTTTTAGAATAGAAATTTCATTCAAAAATCGTAGAAAACTATTGTTTTTACGTTTCATTTATTAAGAAACAAGTCTAGCAGATTTTTTAAACAACTTGTTTATAATAAAATAATGCACAAAACTAGGCTTTTGCAACTTTTTTGTTTTATAAAATTAAATGTTTTCAATCTGCCTATGAACGCCCCTCCTCTGATATTGTATTCTGCGCACAAAGACGTCTTCTATTGTTTTTTATTCAAGCTTGTTTATTATTTATTATTTCCGAAAAATGTTCCTTATTCTAGCTTCAGCCAGCAATTTCGTGTATACTCAAGACAAGATGATTAGGGTTCTTACTGTTGTTACCGTGGCAATTTATAAAAAGTGTTCCTTACTGATTTCTAGGTTCAGCAGAAAACTGTATCTCTTCAAAAGTTGGTAAATCACGACAACTAAATTCGTGAGGATCTTTCTTAAGTTTTTCTTAATCCAATGATACAAACTTCCAACCTACGCTTTCTTAAAAACAAATTCCACGAACCAATGTATTTTATTAAATTATAAATATAAATAAAAATAAAAAAATCGTAAAAAAATATTTTCATGTTTCTATCGAAGACACCGCACGAGCTGTGAGGCCACAAGTTTACCAATATAGAGTACCAGGGATCCAGGTATGACAAGAGTTACTTTGAACAGCAGCGCATCGATCTACAAGGGGTGAACTGCATACGTCACCCAATACGCCGACCTTGGTTTTTGGACCAGACAAACTATTACGTCACCCGTTGAGCTCGTGCCACGTGGTATTTTAGCGAAGAGTACTAGGATATCAGAGTTGCTGTGTAGTTAGCGTACCTGTAGACTTGTTTAAACTTGAATCCATTGATTATAAACACCGATAAAAATTTCTACAGTCCTAGTGTTCAGACGCTAAAAGCACGCTGCATCGCCGCATTGGAAGAGATTTCTTTCATTTCTGCTATAATACAAAAATGTACCTATCCCATTCAATAGTTAACGTCATTAGATAAACTAATTACCACATGATACATAAACTAAAAGAAAGACTCGCCCTTTTATCTCAAAAGGAGTAAATAGACGCATACGCATTATCTGATCCAAATTAAGATTTTCACACAAAAATAGGAAAAGATTCGTTCGGTTCGCCGTTGCACCCTGCAATGATAGGTGCAACTGGATATTATCATTATTTTATCAAACCCATACCGTGTAACCCCTACCTATGTAATGGTATAGCTAAGTCTTCAAAAATTATATGCAAGTGATTGAGGTTTCTCATATATATTTTTTTCAACAGTAATTTTACGAGATATTAAAAAATTGCTTAATCTTTGTCAATCCATCTACCGAATCTAGTCTGTAATTTATGCAATTTTCTTAAATGCATTATTTAGCGTATGTTCAATACATGTTTCGCAATTCAAGGAAAGGTATCCTAATAATATCAAAATCTTCAATCTTTTTGCTCATTATTTTCCTCAATTCCCATTCATCACTAAACCATAAACACACAGATAATAATAGTTGCTAACGTTATAATTTAGACATATTCTTTATTATTTTCAAACCACGACATGCAAAAGGCATTAATACAGTAAAAAAAAATCATAAGTTTTAGGTTTATCACCGCTTAGGTGTGGCAAGAGTCAGACTCTTACTGCACAAAAAGTACCCCGTCCGGACCGAGGCCGGGAATAGTTGGAAGCTTTGAATCTATTTATCTGTATAAACTCCCGGTAACTCCTGATGCCCTGGTATAATGGCCTTTCAAAAAACGTGACGTTACCACAAATTTCCCACGGCCGGGGTCTTGCCACCTTTGTTTGAAGACTTATAATAAGACTTTTTAAGGTGTGTCCCTTTTTTAAGGTTCCGTAGTCAAATAACAAAACGGGTTCCAGGTTCGTTTTGACTGTCTGACTGTCCACCCCGCCACCCGTATAAAATATGTCAAAGCAATTTCTTGCCAAAACTATAAAACATATTGAATTTTTGAAAGTTGATTAAGTTAACCGCACACACATTTTAGTTTATTTTTTCTGTTTTTGTGTGCGGTTAACTCATACGTGTGTGTAATCTACATATATATAGGTCTTCAAAAATGGTATCAATGTTTCTAATATTCGTGCAAATAAAAACGAAGCGCATGTCATTATTGGCATGCAAACTTCCACGGGAAACTGGTGCGAATGATAGCAGGTAGTTATTTTAAACATACCATAAATAGGAAAAGTATGTTACTGCTACGGAGCCCTTGGTGGGCCAGTCCAATTCACACTTGGCCGCTTTTTGCCCACATTTTTCGTGGAATTGTCGGAACAGTCGAACAAAAGAATATCGTCTCGACTCACGAGTTTGTTTGAACAAGTTCTACTCGGCGATTTGTTTTGTTTAGTTTAGCGCGATGCACGGCCGGGTAAGGTCGTGCGTACGCTGCTAGGTACGAATATTTTATTCGCGAATTGCGCGGCTAAGCCGCTGCCCGTGTTTGCAACTATGAGTTCTCAACCACTCATAGTTAACGAAGTGCTAGCATTTATACAATATTTCATCCACTGCATGGAAGATGACAGCATCGTCCAGGTCTGTAGGAGAAACTTTGACAAATCTGAGATAAGCAATGCAAGGTTGCAGCTGTACCAGATTCTCAACAAGGTTGACCAGGTGCCATCTCGCCGTGAAGATAGCACTCAGAATATTTGTCAGGATATTTTTACCCTGATGAGGGAGACTGGCCGGAATGCCTTGCCCAATTTCGTAGTGAAGGATGTGTTTAAATTGGTAGCTATTAGGATTAACGACTTCGATGTCACCAAAATTCTTAGGGATGTGACATCCTTGAAAGCCAGCGTGACTGAGCTGCAGAAAAAATTGGAGGTGTCTAATAGAACCGTAAGTGACTTGCGTGCCGAGGTGGTGCAATTACGCAGCGCTGTTTCTGTAACTAAGTCACCTGATAAATCTCACGTGAACGCACAACGTAAAGCGCAAAATGCTGCGACTAGCAGTCAGTCCGCGCTAAGTAGTGAGGCGCCAGCTGAAACTAAAAAAATATCACGGCGCACCGCCAGCACCCGCGCCACCACGCCGGCCGCGCCGCCGGAGCAGGAACCCGCACGTGTTAGCACGTTGACCGCAAAGCGTGCAGCATATGCAGATATCGCTGCCGCTAGACAATCGGTATCAACGCAGAAAAATCAAGCTGCTCAAACAAAACTGGACCAAGCAAACCAGACGAGTTCGAAAAACGATACATGTAACAATGACGGCTTCATTAAGGTAGAACGGAAGAAGAAGAAAAAGCCTCTTTGTCGCAATCAGTGTGGTACGGCGCCAATAGACTCCGACTCACCTCTGTATCCAGCAAAACCCATGACGCAGCTGTACTTGTCCCGGCTGCATTATACAACGACCGTGGAGGACGTTGTGGAATATATGTATTCGAAGACAGGACGGCAATATAGAGTTGTGATGTTGGAGTCGCGGTACAATATGAACCACAAGTCATTCGTGGTGTGGGTTCATACGCGTCATCTTGAAAACTTCCTCGATGAAAAGTTTTGGCCGAAGGGTGTTGTATATCGGCGTTTCCGTGGCCGGCTTCCCAACACCAGTCAGTTAGCGAAACACGACGCCACCTCTACGTCTACAGCCTGCATTCAAAAGTCAAAATGATGTGAACTGTACTCAGAATTTTAATTCCATTCCAGATTTGACAATTTCGGTGTGGCAACGTTAGAACACGTAATAAATAGTGACGTTGCGAAATTATTCGATATAAAAATCGAATATTTCTGTATCGATTCCTCTCGTTTATAAATTTACTCTCGTAAACTAAATTTATCAGGAAATAAAATATTTCTGAACCGATAATTTAGTTTTGACAATTAATTAACGATCTGAGACTTTTCTTTTGTAATTGTGTGTATAATTAATAAAAAATGTGATCATGAAGGAACATGACAAATAAAACAGACATTTTATAAATTGTCGCCGTCATCGCTATCGCTATCGCTGTTACTTTCTGTAACATTTATTATGAATTGTGTGTGTGATTTTGATTCTCAATTAACATAATATCTAGCTTACTAATTTTTCCCTCTTCTTTGACAACATGGGATACGCATTTAGACCATTCGGTAGCCGTAATTTTTTGAATGCCTTCCTGAAACGATTGACCGATTGTTTATCGATTTTTATGTTCATCACAACACTGTTTTAAGTGGTATCATTATTTCACAAAATGACAGTAGGTCATGTCAAATCAGGAATCGAATTAAAATTCTGACTATACATTGTTTTTGTGTATCGCATAAAAGGAATAAATATTTTTATTTTCTTATTAACCAATGTGTTTTACTTTTGTGTCGTTATACTATGGCAAATAACATATTTGTAGATAACAACTGAATAAACAATAACAAAATACAAATTGAATCCCGCTCGTGGTATTTTGTGTGCACTGCCAACATTTAAAGAATAAACAACCATGTAGTTAGGTTACTTTTTCCATAAAAATTACAAAAATATACAAACAAAATAAAATAATGACAGTAGTATAATCGTATAGTTTTCGGTGGAAGCGGTTGCAGTATTCTTATAAAATTATTGCTCTACTCTACAGGAGTCCTGATGCCCTGGTAACGTAACTATTTTTGCAACGTGATGCCGCACCAACCCTCACTTACCCCGACGATACCTGCGGGTTTGCGGGTAGCTAGAACTAGAAAGCAGCCTGTAGCTAATTAATATACTGATTTACGAAGCACGCTTCTGTTGTTTTATGAGGATTAACAGGACCATGTTTGTTTTAATAAGTACATCAATGTAGCTGTCATTTAACACTGAGAATTTAAGCTGAACAAAACTTCATGCTGCACAAAAACACAGAAAGACTTGTAAATGTAAACTTTGTTTTGTAGCAATTCTTCGAAACAAAAAAATTACTTCCAAATTTTATATATTTCAGCACAGTTAGCACACAGTTAGTAGACATGAATCCTTATTATTACTACACAGACGACCATGTGTTAATGTAGGGGTTGCAAATGATGACGTCATGGATTGGCATAGAGTACTAAGGGATCATAACATGTGAGAAGATTGTTAACAGCTTTCAGGCATTTTCATTGTTAATCGCAATCATTTATGATAGGAAATTGTTTTACAACTTTACAAGACCATCGGTATGAAATAGGATTTGGTTTATTTAATGTTATGTAATAAAATATGAATCTATTCTTCCTATCTTAGTGCAGGGCATTATGCATACTAAATTTATTTTATCCAATTAAGTTTAATATAGCTTTATAGTTACAATGTTTAATATGGACAACGTCGATAAAGATATGTAGGTACCTATAATTTTGAATTGTAGAACTTTCTACTTTGATTAAGATCCTGGTAGCATAACTTTTAAAACCCAAGAAAAAGTCTAAAATATTTTTTTAATATCAACCTAATTAAATTGCAAATGAACTATGATTAAAAACATTGAGCTCCAAAATATTCAAAGCTGTGTTAGTACTAAGGCTACCAGAAAGGGATGGTGGTAAATATGACGTCAGAGTGTGACGTCATCGACAAGGACATCGCACCCCAACCCTCGATGCAGTCTAGACTGCGCTGAAGAGCTAGATAGGACATACTGTCGTCTCTTTCTATGTAATCTACAGGGGGATACACCAAAGAACACACACTGATGTAAAAATAGCCGATGACACACTATTGCACTGATAGACTGTAGGGTCCCTCATCGGCCACAATCGTCACGCTTGGCAGACGTGTTTAAAATGTTCAGGTTTAGTAGAAACGCTGTTTGTCGCTCTGTCAAATTCATGAACCTATTAGTCTTTTGGGTTTTCCACACCCAAGGCAAGACACGTCACGGTCACATCACGGGTAAGCCGATGTGCAAGCCCAATAAACTAGATTAGGTCACTACAACAGTACGTTGTATTAATCTATAGATTAACCCTTCTAGCTCAATGTGTTATAATCCTGCATTAATTGACAATTTGACAGGTATTATTCCTAACACACACGGCATGCACACGAACCTCCACGTAATCCATATAGCCCTAGTATCGGAATGGCATAAACACTAGTCGACTATAGACGATCTGTTTCACACCTTAGCACCCAATAAACTTATCTTAGTAATATACATGGGAAAGTTACGATGTTCGAATACACTCCGGAATAGGTAGAGCATAGGCTACTTTTTATCAAAATACCACGCGGGCGGAAGCTATATATTTGGCATATAGTTCATACAAAGTACGTTCTCCTTTATCATTAGGTATTGAATATTAGTGTGCGAACATGTCACCTTCATAGAACCACATGCAAAACCTACAATTTACCCTTAATTCCTAAATGAGTATATTTATTTTATCCTACCAGATTTCGATGTTCGGATGGCTAGGTAGTTGTATTAATACTTCTAATTCACCATAATATAAAAATATAAACAGTAACCTTAATTTGAATAAAAATAATACTTTTAACAATTTAACAACAAAATCATTATATATGCAACCAGTTTTACCGATTGATATAATAAAAATTATTAATAACCTTAAAAATACTAATACTGTTGGCTATGATGGAGTATGTGCAAAAGTTGTGAAATGCGTCAAAGAAGTTATAGCACAACCACTAGCTCACATTACTAATTTATGTATAACAAATGGTGTTTACCCCGATAATTTAAAAAAAGTAATTATTAAACCCTTATTCAAAAGAGATGATAAATCAGATGTTAAAAACTATAGACCCATTGCCAAAATTCCAATTTTTTCAAAAATTATTGAAAAAGTAATCTATAATTCTATATATAGTTATTTTGAAAAGAATAAGTTATTTTGTAACGAACAAAAAGGATTTCGAAAAGATACAAATATTAATATGGCATTGTTCGACCTCCTATCTCATATCATGACATCTGTCGATGAAAGATCTCCAGTTTGTGCTTTGTACACTGATATGACTAAAGCGTTTGACTATGTGGACCATAAGATTTTACTTGAAAAATTGTATGGTTATGGAATTCGAGGAAATATTCTAAAACTTTTGGAGTCCTATCTAGAAAACAGGTCACAGTGCACTGAAATCTCACAGTTATGCCAAAAAAGTAATTTAGTAACCATTCATACATCTCAACAAAGAACTATAAAATACGGGGTACCACAAGGTAGCGTGCTAGGGCCGCTACTCTTCTTAATATATATAAACGATCTTCCAAAATTTATAACTCAAAATATGGTACTTTTTGCTGACGATAGTACAGCCATTGTCAAATGTAATAACCCTGACTATTACGAGAATGATATAAATGATTGCCTCGACAAAATAATTAAGTGGCTTATAAATAATAACCTAGTCATTAATTTAAACAAAACAAAAGTAATGCACTTCCGTCAAAGATGTGAAAAACCTCCAGTTCATATCATGTATGACAAATGCCAAATAGAAGATACGGAAAAGGCAAAATTTTTAGGTTTAATTATCGATAGTAGGCTGACGTGGAAACCCCATATTGAAGAAATTTGCTTGAAATTAAACAAGTCTGCATATGCCCTGTTTCAGCTATCAAAAAAAGTTAATACTCAAACACTTTTATTAGCATATCACGGATTGGTTGCATCTGTTCTGAGGTTCGGTATTATTTTTTGGGGGCAATCTTCTGAAAGAGAATCGGTTTTTAAAGCGCAAAAACTATGTATTCGGTCCATGTGTGGCTTTAAAACTACCGAAACTTGTGAACCATACTTTAAATCTTTAAAATTATTGACTTTTCCTGCTATGTACATTTACGAAACTGCCTTGTTTGTCAAAATCAATCTGCATCTATTTCAAAAACTCGCTGATGTTAAAAAAACTCCAATGCGTTCTCAATATGCAAATAAACTGTGCAACTTAAAATGCAAAACCGCTTTAAGTAAAAAGGGTTTTTTTTGGCATGGCTCCGAAAATCTATAATAAAATACCTACCAACATAAAACAATTACCCTTAGTTAAATTTAAGAAGATACTCTACCTACTGTTAATGGAAAAGTGTTATTATACTGTAGAAGATTTTTTAAATGATAGTTTATAATATTAATTTATTAGTTAGAAACCTATGAGTAAGATTTTTAAGACTGCTTAGAGATTTTTTAAGACTGTTTCTTTATTGTGTTAGTTTTGATTATACATTATAATAGTTTAAAACAAATAGGTCCTTTTAACATGTAAGAGTTTAATTTTGTTGTTTTTTTCCCATATGTATGTAGTTTTTAATTTTTAAAGTTTTTTAATTTTATTTTAATATTTGTACGCCTTCACGGCAAAACATAGCGCACCTATATTATATGACCTAAGATCTAAATGTAAATACCTATGTTTCACAAATAAACATTCTGATTCTGATTCTGATTCTGATTCTGATTCTGATTCATAATCTATGTTACCCGTACGTGACGTCCTTTTTCTTTATTGGCCATAATAATATGATCTCCTTCATGATCTAGTATACTGATCAGACATTGCGGCCCAGGACCTAAATCTCAAAATTTAACGAATTCAAGGACAGTTTGAAAGGTTGTTTGGAAGCGTCACAATTAAGTAAAAAAAAAATTAAGAATGTAAGTACTTTTCAACATTGACAGCAAAATGCATGCAGCTAAAAAAAAACTTTGTGATAGTTACCACCTCCTTATTTTGCAGAAATAAAACTTATCATGCTATTTAGCTATGTAACGTTATAATGTAGTTATTAGGTACGGAAATAATTATCAGAGTAAAATCTCTGTCACCTGTATTGTACCTACCCATATTTGCAAATAAATTTATCTTTATCTTTAAATCTTTACTTTTTGTATCTAAACAGGAACAAAATCTTTTAGTATAAAAATACCACGTGGTGAAAGCTCAGAGCTTTGAGTGCTTTGTTACTGCATTTAATGGAATCATCTCTAATTGTTTCTGGTAGCCTGGTACCAAAAGCCAAATATGCCACGTGGCGCGTGCGTGAAGCCTCTGGGCAAGTAAAACTTTGTCTACAGCTGTAAGTAAACAAAAAAAGCTAAGAGAAAGAATACTGTAAACTGTAAAGTAACAAAATATATGGTCATTTTTTGTAATTTTTAGACATTGTTATCTGCTTGTTAATAATACACAGCTGACAAAAGGCCTATTCCCGCACTGAAAAAGGGACACCAAC